TCTACAGACTCTACTGTATGTAATCTGTATATAATTATACTGTGTGTAATCTATATCTTATACTGTATGTAATATATATGATTATGACTTATTATATATAATATTATATATTATACTATGATAAATGTAGCATAAATGTATAGTGTAGATTATTACTATTACGTATCAACAAGTTCAAGGTTGGCTTTAAATTGTTAAAATTGCAAAATGGTGTACACTTTTGCACAGAAATGTCAGGGCAAGTACTATATCTGCATAACAAAATTAGTACGATAAATGCAATATTTGAAATATAAATTACAGGATACAATATAATAGATGATGTAGTCTGGTGTATATAATCTAGATGAATATAGTATAATTATATACAATTACTGTATTTACAACAAGTACAATTAAATACAATAAATATATTGATATATCTCTGTTATTACATTAATATATGTATTATTACATATACTGTATCATAAAATACACATACATGATAATCCACGACAAGTACTGAATACTGAAAATAAAAGTGTCCCAAGACTTTTGACTGAGAGTGTATACATGTTTGAAATATAAGATTATATTTGATCTAGCTGAAAGTAGATTAATAATAATCCTCTGATAAAATTCGCCCTGCCTGCATTTTATATCTTTTACACATTCTGCTTATTTTCTTATCTCACTATTTCTCTGTTTATCTGAGGGTCCACCATTCTTCGAAATATTTTATTTAATCCTCCATTTTCGTCTTTTGTTCTAGTCTCTAGATGAAATATTTTCTGGTAAAAAGTAAATATTTTATTCACTCAATCCTTCATTTTCGTCATTTATTCGTAGGATAGTTCCTTTCGTCTAATTTCTAGGCAAAGGTCCAAAACTCTAATCGACCATAAGTGTTTTTCCTGACAACCAAACGAAATTCCGTCTGCTGGGAATCTGTCAGGTCTGTGAAAAGTATATATCAAAAGATTTGAACGAATCGATAATCAAGGTGACTTCGCTCGATCCCTTTTAACTTTTAACTTCCCCAATACTTTGGACTCCTGATCAAGGAGTTTAAAAACAAGTTCGTGAATCGCCGTGGAACTCTTAGAACAAAAAGTTCGAACGTTCGAAGGGAGTTGAGGTGATTCTACTAATTAGAGTGCTACTTTTTCGTCTTCTCGTCGACACGACCTTTCGATTTCTTCACTGAAGCAGTATTTACACGTTTCAGGGAAGATAATCTGATGAGGAATCTAGGTGGAATTTTACAAAGAATTAACAGAACTGATTCAACGCGATTCACTTTTAATTATTTTGATTTCCTTTTTGCTGAGAAGAGCGAATTTTTTCAAGGATTTTGTGACAAGGTTTCGATTATCACACAACTTTTAATGAGTAATTATTACGGTAAGGAACGTGGGACAATCTTGCTAATTAGAGAATCGTATTTCGATGTCTTTATTGAATGACTGAACTTTTGATTGAAACAGTTACTGGAGGAAAGTTTTCAAGAACCGATACAACCGAACAGTCCGCAGCAGAGACAATTCTACTAACTGGCGTGCCGTTATTTGACACACAGCCTCTTCGTTTTTCGATTCAAACTATTTTCGGATCTCAAAAGACCGGGGCAACTTTTACTCCGCTCTTACATCGATCGAAGGTGCTTTTTGAATATTTTAAAGAGCCATTTTCGGCTCGGGCGTATTTCATCACGCAGTCAGCCGAGCGTGTCGCTCAATGGAAAACCCTCTGTGAAATACCTTCTCTTTCGAATAGAAAGTAAAATCCAGACCTAAATAAGGAATTTGTCAGTTTCACGGTAAGACTATCACTCTTTCTTTCCCGCCGTTTCGTTTCACGGAACCTCTTCCGATACTTGATCTTGTTTAAACTGACCTCTAAATCTTCGACAGACGACAGAGAAACGATCTTTCTTCATCGTCTTCGTTCGAGAGTGATTGAGGTTAACGGAAGGACCTAATGCAAAGAAAATTGCCAGCAGCGATCGGGGGCGAGCAATTATCGATATCTGGCCTGTTCCATAGACACTGGTATCTGGTGGCCACTGACAGCTCCATTAGGACGTGTCTTGTTGAAAATTTCAGTAGGACTCGGCCAGGATATCGATCCCCCGCTGGTGAAAGCGCCCTGGTCGGTTAAACGACCTTCCCTCAATCTCCAATCTACCTGACTACGTGC